CTATAATGGACAGGATTGGGACAACTAGGGAAACTGGAATGGAAACTGTATATTACATATCACTGAGACAATGTTACATAGTGTAGTAATATTGAGTGTGACAATAGTACTGTCCTTTCTCTGTAAGAGAACTTCCTTGTCCTTATTAGATACAAGATGAGGTATTTATGGACTCAAGTTACTTTCAAATGATTCAGTTTTTTTGGTTTTTTTTTTTTTTTTTTTGAGACAGAGTCTTGTTCTGTTGCCCAGGCTGGAGTACAATGGTGCAATCTTTGGTCACTGCAACCTCCGTCTCCTGAGTTCAAGCAATTCTCACACCTCAGCCTCCCAACTAGCTGGGATTACAGGTGCATGCCACCACGCCTGGCTAATTTTTGTAATGATGGGGTTTCACCTTGTTTGCCAAGCCATTCTTGAACTCCTGACCTCAGGTGATCTGCCCGCCTCAGTCTCCCAAAATACTGGGATTACAGGCATGAGCTACTCCACCCAGCCTAGTATTTATCTATACAGATGGAGAGCAAGGCAGAGTAAAAAAACAAATGAGGCAAAGTATTAACTATTGATGAATCAAAATGAAGTGTATGGGATAATTCTTTGTAAGATTTTTGTAACTTTTCTCTAAGTTTAAAATTATTTCAAAATAAAAAGCAAAAATTAAAAAGTCAGGGTGGGGTGAGGAATCTCGTAACTTCAAATGTAACCAAACTCCTTATCAAGTCATAAAAATCGTTTTATGGTCTGTCTGCAGGTTACCTTTCTAAGTTCATCTCTAATCACTTTCTTCATTAATATTCCACTCATACTACTTACATGCTATTTCATACTTGTTTGTTCTTGGAGACAGGGTCTCACTCTGTCTCCCAGACTGGAGTGCATGGTGACCACAGCTCACTGCAGCCTCTACCTCCCAGGCTGAAGTGATCCTCCCACTTCAGCCTCCTGAGTAGCTGGGACTACAGGCAAATGCCACCATGCCTGGGTTTTTTTTTTTTTTTTAAATGGCATTATAGGTTTGAGCCACTGCACCTGGTCCACACCTGTTCTTTACACACACATGTTCCTTTCCCTTTAACTGGATAATGTATACATGTTCTTCAAGTCCAAGGCTTCTCTCAATTGGGGAACTTTTTAATGGAACTGTTCATGTATTGGTTCTATGACTGCATAGTTATAAAAACCTGAAGAACTGTACACTAAAAAGGGTGAAGTTAGCCAGGTGCAGTGGCTCATGCCTGTAATCCCAACACTTTTGGAGGCCAACGCAGGCAGATCACTTGAAGCCAGGAGTTCAAGACCAGCCTGGCCAATATGGCGAACCCCGTCTCTACTAAAAATACAAAACCTAGCTAGCTGTGGTGACACATGCCTGTAGTCCCAGCTACTTGGCAGGCTGAGGCAGAAGAATCTGTTGAACCTGGGAGGCAGAGGCTGCAGTGAGCTGAGATCATACCACTGCACTCCGGCTTGGGCAACAGACCAAGACTGTCTCAAAAAAAAAAAAAGAAAAGAAATAAAGAAAAACGAACATAAAAGAGGTGAAGTGTATTGTATGTAAATTATACCTTTTCATTTATTTATTTTTTTTAATGGAGGGAAACACCTTGCTATCCCTTATTATATTGTACATTCTTTTACCTCTGGCACAGGAAGTATAAGCACACTGTCTCCTTTAGAGTCTTTTATCTGGGCCTCTTCAACAGAATTTTCACCAAGACCCCTATCCAAACCAAGTGTGCAGGGCCCTGTCTCAGAGGAAGCAACTGGAGCAACTGACAACATGTGAACCTCCTGAGAGCTCTCTTCTTGATTTTCATTTCTGAAAGAGAGTTTAGAATGCATATCATTTGAAATTGGGCAAATCATGGAATTATTTTTAGAGCTAGGTGTGTAAAAGATCATCTAATTCAATGGTTTTCAAACTTTTAAAACATATTTAATGCAACAGAACTTCTTTTTCAAATTCTTAGAGTCACAACTTAAGGCTATCGCTGAAACAATATAAACTGAATCTCAGAATCCCTTCCCTCTTTTACCTTTCAGTTAGGTTTACTTCTGGAGAAATACTGGTCCCTTTGATACCATGTACACATGCCAATTTGCTCTGATCCTTATTCTCTGCTGTTGTAACTGGTCCGAGGTTTTTATTTTCCAATTCTGTTGCTTTGGAAGCATTTTTCTCTGTTTCTTAAACAAAAAGCAGACTTACGATACAGACCAAAATAATACAGCTAAAATCCCTCTATTAGAAACATATACCCTCTTAAAAGGAAGATCCCTATACTGTGACTCTTCCAAACTTCTCTCATTCCACAAATCAGGCTTACACACATGGCAGAAAGTCCTGGCTAATAGATTTTTGAACAGTAAAACAGAAGATTAATAAATCATGTTCTGCAAATATTTCACTCCTGGCTGCCACGATAATTGTATCCTCACTTTATAGTACTAGCATCAATAATTAGAAACTCAATATACAAAAGAGACTTAGAGGTGGGCTACGCGGAGGTTTGGCTAGTTCCACTTTAGAGGAAGTCTTCGGGAAGGAGCTGCACTGCAAAGAATAGCATCACAAATGGGGGAAAAAGAGATTTCTACATAGTAGAGGTAATTTGAGCCTGCATGTCGGCAGAGGTTTTAGAAAAGGTGACCTCTCATGGTTCTCCTGTATTTTCCATCATGTTTAGTGCAATACTGTGAATAACACCATGGGACCCACACAAAGTGCCATTAATGATGCTGGAAGCACTCCCAAGAAGCAGAGGAAAGTCCTAACATTATAAGAAAAAGCTGAATTGCTTGGTATGTATTACAGATTGACACCTGTAGTTGGGGTTGCCCACCATTTCAGACAGATGTTTCATCTTGTAAACAGCTGACATAAACTTTTGGTACTGATAAATACAATGCAGTACTGAAAATGTTTTTTCTCTTCCTTATAATTTTCTTCCTTTTATTTTTCTTTAAGACAGGGTCTTGCTCTGTCGCCCAGGCTAGAGTGCAGTGGCAATATCACAATTTACAGCAGACCTGATCTTGCAAGCTCAAACCTATGAGTAGCTGGGACCACAGGTGTGTGCCACCACGTCTGGCTAACTTCTTAAAATTATTTTGTAGAGACAAGGTCTCCCTATATTGCCCAAGCTGGTCTCAAAACTCCTGCGCTCACGTGATCTTCCTGCCTCTGCCTCCCAAAGGGCTAGCATTTCAGGTGTGCACCACCACCGTGCCTAGCCTGACTTTCTTTTTTCTTTATTTGATATGGAGTCTCACTCTGCTGCCCAGGCTGGAGTACACTGGCATGATCACAGTTCACTGCAACCTCAACCTCCCCGGGCTCAGGTGATACTCCCACCTCAGCCTCCTGAGTAGCTAGGACTACAAGCATGCACCACCATGCTTGGCTAATTTTTGTACTTTTGTAGAGATGGGGTTCTGCCTTGTTGCCCAGCCCCATCTGGTGTCAAGTGAACCGCCTGCCCTGGCCTCCCAAAGTGCTGGGATTACAGGTGTGAGCCACTGTGCCCAGCCCCAGCCTGACTTTCTTAATAACATTTTCATTTCTCTATGGCTCAAGGACATCAGTTGAAAAAACAGAAAAAGAAATTTTTTTTAAAAAATTTTCTCCAGCCTATTTTATCATAAGAATACAGTATATAACACATCTAAAATACAAAATATGTGTTAATTGACTATCTTATCAATCAGGCTTCTGGTCAACAGTAAGTCATTAGTAGGTAAGTTTTTGGGGAGACAAAAGTTATACACGAATATATATATATATATATGTGTGTTTTCAATTCATAAGAGACAGGGTCTCACTATGTTGTCCAGGCTGGCCTCCAACTCCTGGGCTCAAGCCTCCCAAAATGCTGGAACTACAGGTGTAAGCCACTGCACCCAGCCTATACACAAATTTCTGACTGTTTGGGGAGGTCAGTGCCCCTAGTTAAAGGGTCAACTATGAGAGAGAGAGAGAGAATAAAAAGACAAAAAATTGATCAAACAAATATAGCAAACTGGTACTAATTACTAAAACCAATTGGCAGATTTATGGATATTTATTTTATAGCTCATCTTACTTTTTAATTTGAAACTATTTTATTGTAAGTTAAAACAATTTAAAGACCAAATATTTCTTTGAAATGTTAATGTAATTTCTTGTGCCAAAATGATTTTGCAACATATTAAGAGAATAAAATTTACCTCTTTGAGTTTCCATTTCTTCCCCTTTGGTTACACACAAACTGGAAATTTCCTGATGATCATCAAACCTGTTGGTCCCTAAAGTCTTCTCAAGATTTGGCTTAGGCTTGGCAAGTCTACTTCTTATTCTCAAATTACTTGTCACTTTAGAAATTGTATTCCTAAAAACAGAAGATAGAGAAATTTATGAATCACGTTAGATCTTACTCTCTCACATTAATACAGTCTGTCTAGCACTGATAGAGTGAACGACCTGTTAGGTGCCACATTGTCTACAAGTGTTCATTTCTTCATACTAAAATTACAAAGTAGTAACTTTACTAGAGGTCTTAAGATGAGAATTCAGTCTGTATTTGTAAAACAGAGACATTTACATAAATCTATTTCATTAAAGTTTCAAAGATATACAACATTTACTACTATAATTTAAATATGCAAACCATTAACCTAAAATCAAAATCAGTCCATCTTTAAAGGGTAAGAAATTAGCATTGCCTACTTTACATTTACAAGCATTACTCAAAGCTATTAACTAATTTGATGGTGGTTTTAGTAATATTTATTAATTGAATACTAAAATAAACCTGGTTGGTGTAGCATTCTCCTTTATCTCCATTAAACTTATTTCTTCTCTGGAACTTTGCTCCTCCAATACTATCTTGTTTTCTTCAAATGATGCAGGAGACGTAGTAATGACAGGTGAAGAAAGCTCCTGACATTCATGAACAATTTTGTGATTTACATTATCTAGGCTAAAAGGAATATGGCTTTTATCCTTTGAATGTACATGAGGAAGTATACATACCCCTACTGAAGAAAAAAAAAAAAAAATTAAAATGGACCAAATTAGAGGCTCAAAATAAATTCTTCAACATTTAGTAACTGTAAAATTCTGTATTATTAAAGTTTGCTTCATTTGTGCGGCAGCAATAGAAAAAGATTTAAAAAATAAATAAAGTTTGCTCTTGTTGGCTATAAATTTAAATTTATGATCTCCCTATTTCATGCCAGGGATTTGACCTATTGTGAGCTTAATAATCCTTATAGACTGAAATTTTATGCAATTATTAGTAAAAATGAGTCCTTTTGTTATTTTGAGTAATTATATAATCTCAGATGGATTTCAAGATAGACAGCACTGCCAGCATTTAAGATTTTTAAAACCTTTATGTTCTATGTGTACTTTACGTTCTATATGTTTCTGATAGGCTCTACCGCAATACTCTGCCACTAAGAAAGGAGCCCTATACAGAACACAAACCAGAGGCTTTCCTGATAAATATATGGTTCCAAGCCTAAAAGTCTAATACGTTTTTACCTATCCACTTTGGAGACAGGGTCTCACTTTGTCACCCAGGCTGGAGTGCAGTGGCACGATCTCAGCTCACTGCAGTCTTGACTTCCTGAGCTCAAGTGATCCTCTCACCTCAGCTTCCCAAGCAGCTAGCACTACAGGCGTACACCACCATGCCTGTCCAATTTTTTGTATTTTTTATAGAGACGGAGTTCCACTCCTGAAGTCAAGTATTCACCAGCCTTGGCCTCCCAAAGTGCTGGTACTATAGGCTTGAGCTGTCGCATCCGGCCCAAAAGTCTATTACTTAAAATGAATGGAGGCTAGCGCAGTGGCTCATGCCTGTAATCCCAGCACTTTGGGAGGCCAAGGCAGATGGATCACCTGAGGTCTGGAGTTCGAGACTAGCCTGGCCAAGATGGTGAAACCCCAACTCCACTAAAAACACAAAAATTAGCTGGGCATGGTGGCAGGTGCCTGTAATCCCAACTACTCGAGAGGCTGAGGCAGGAGAGTTGCTTGAACCTGGGCAGCAGAGGTTGCAGCGAGCCGAGATTGCGCCATTGCACTCTAGCCTGGGTGACAAGAGTGAAACTCTGCTTCAAATAAATAAATAAATAAAGATGAATGGTAGGCTACTCATAATCAAACTCCGTCTCAAATAAATAAATAAGTAAATAAAATGAACGGTAGAGTACTCATAACCAAGCAAAATAATTACCAGGAATAGTATAATTACTCATTTCATGCACTTAAAAGATAGTTAGATAGTAAAGATTTATCGCCTGTCTGTGATTTCTGTCTAATAAATTAAAAATCTTGGTTGATAAATCTTTTGGCTCTGTCCAAACTGAGAACAGTTTAAACTAAATTATTTCAATGAGTGCTATTGTCTCTTTGTACCGTATTTGTCATCTAACTGTGAATACCATCCCAAGCAGCAACTCCTTGGCTAAAGACACATGTATAAAGCGATCAGTGATCAATGAGCTCAGTTAACCAATGACATTCATGATGGTAATAGCAGTATTCACTAGAGCAACTATTCCATGAATACGATTTATTCTTTTTATTTATTTATTTATTTATTTATTTATTTTTTGAGACACAGTCTCGCTCTGTTGCCCAGGCTGGAGTGTAGTGGTGCAATCTCGGCTCACTGCAAGCTCCACCTCCCAGGTTCCAGGTTCACGCCATTCTCCTGCCTCAGCCTCCCAAGTAGCTGGGACTATAGGCATCCGCCACCATGACCGGCTAATTTTTTGTATTTTTAGTAGAGATGGGGTTTCACAGTGTTAGCCAGGATGGTCTTGATCTCCTGACCTCCTGATCCACCCGCCTCAGCCTCCCAAAGTGCTGGGATTACAGGTGTGAGCCACCATGCCCGGCTTGAATACAAATTATTCTTAATAAACCAAGTGTACGATCTTGAATTGGCTGTCACTATACCTAAACAGTAGTAAAATAGTGAATAGATCAATATATACATATCACATTTTATGGAAGAACAACAAAATGGAGACAAATTCAAATGTAAAAGGGTTATTACTCAAATGTGGGTATAATTTCTTAAAAGTTAGGTTTTAAAAGTTTCTATTTTTGGTAGGACTTAGCTTTCATTCTTACCATCACCCTGTTCAGTACTGATCTCTGACTGCAATACTAGATCTCCCATTGTAAGTAAAGTTATTGCAGCTTCAGTGCTTCCATCACTGGTACCTTGTGAGGAAATATATCAACATTAAAACAAAAGAATGAATCTGGAAATCTGTTCACTTAAAAAATATTTTCAATTGAGGTGTTTATCTCCTAGTAGCAGATTCCAATATCCTCTGAACCATTAATCCCTTAATAGGGTAGTCTTTTGTTCAGGTTATATGTTACAGATAAATAAATCATCACTGTTGGTTTTGACTCACTGACCATGCCTCCCTCCCATTAAATAATATCTTCAAGGAAAATGCTCTCCCATTTGTACAGATCCAGAGGAAATGCTCAAATATTTCTTAAACATTTAAACTTTTAATTCACCTTCTAAAATAACATTCTAAGAATCCACATTTCTCACAGAGATAACACATTCAATAGCTGAATCTTTTTGTTAAACTCTCCAGCAAACTGATTCATTTATTATCCCCACTATTAAATCATTGTACTAGTGTTAATCAAGGTAGTCTTAGCAGTTTCCTTGATAACAGTTACCTGGTTCATCTTGGATATGTTCACCTGTGGTCATTTCCTAAAAATGAAAAAAATAAGTAATATCTTAAATATTTCTCCAAACATGTTCTGTTTCTCAACACGCACTACATTTTTAGAGGTCTTTCCATACTTTGAGTTACAATAGCATAAACTGGTTTGTCTTAATTTATAATTATTCACAAAATTTCACCAGCAAGAACAGAAATAATTTAAAGGCAAAATTTTTGTGTCTCTTGCTCCTGATTTTATCTTTATATTGTATTATGTGCAAATTTTAACTCTTATCATATTGTTATGTATGTCTACCATTCTTACTTTACTTCTTCATTTTCATAATCCTTCAACTCTAGTCATATCTGCTGCCAATTTTTACCAATGGAAACCAAGGCCTGAAGGGTATTGCAAAATTTTTATAATCCTACGTAGCTTAAAACTTAAACGCATTTTAATAAATTAAGAAGTTACAGAACCAATGTCCAGAGCGACAGCTTGAGAAGCTTCACTGACCCACTCCTCAGTGAAACCGATTTTAAAAACAAAACATTTAACAGCCTCTGAAAATGATCCTAGCGACAAAAAGCAAACGAAGAAATATCTGTTCAAGAAAATCTGAAAATTTGCTAACAAAGGTGAGAGTCTATGTGAACCAAAACTGCTCTCTCTCTCCTTCCTCCCAGCTCAGCATGGCAGAGACTCCACCTCAAACTGCTGCACCCAAAAACACAAGGCCCCCGGTCCCCAAGGTCCCACCTGGAGAGCATTTTTCCCTAGGGGAGTAGGACTTCAGCTCCTGACATCACAAGAAAAGTACAGACCAATATTTATTATGAATATGGACACAAAACTCACCAATAAAATACTAGCAAGCCAAATCCAACAACGTATAAAAATTAGACATTATGACCCTAGAATATTTCCTGGGGAAGCGAGGTTGGTTTAACATCCAAAAATCAATACAATAAAAAACAAAATTCACATGATCATCTCCATAAATGCGGAAAAAGCATGACAAATTCCAACACCCTTTAATGAAAGAAACATTCAACAAACTAGGAATGGAAAGTAACATCTTTAGCCTGGTAAAGGACATTTATGAAAAACCCATAGTAACATTACACTTAATGATAAGACAGGATAGGAGAAGTGGTAGCAGCCAGGCAGCCCAGCTTTGAGAAGGCTCTCAGCATGGTGCGGCTCACAGGCACCAACACGCACACTCCCGGCCGCAAGATGCCCAAGAGAAAGATCAGCTCAGCAGAAGAGCAGTGAAGGAAAGAGCCCAACATGAGATTGGTATGACTGTCAGCTAAACTCGCTCCTGCATAAGTGGAAACAAAGCCAAAAAAGGCAGCAGGAAAGGATAAATCTCCAAACAAAAAAGTGCAAACAAGAGAAAAAAGGGGAACAAAGGGAAAACAGACCAAAGTGGCTAAGCAAGAAATCACATTTACCTACAGAAAACAGAGAAACAAAAACCAAGGAAAGTCCAGCCTCTGATGAAGCCGGAGAGAAAAAGCCAAGTCTGATTAATATCATATACCATGTCTTACCAATAGTCCTTGTCTCCCTTCTTGTACATTCCAGAGGAATATTTTTATCAACTATTTCATGAATGCAAGTTTTTTAGTAACTCTAGAAACATTTTTAAGAAGAAAGGAATCCCACCACATCCCATTTTTTAAGTGTAAATGCTTTTAAGGGTAAAAATCATTTGCCAGTTGTTTATTTTTTGGTACAACCAGAAAATAGTGTGGAATATTGAATTATGGGAGGCTTTGATTGTCTTAGGTATCAGCTTACCCTTCCACTATATTAACTATTAATATGGAGTCACAGTCCTGCATCTGATGTCTTGAAATTTTTTAGTTACTTTTATTCCCATGGTTTGGTTCTAGTTCTTTAGTTTGCTAGTTTGTTTGTTTTGTTTTTGAGACAGAGTCTTGCTCTGTTGCCTAGGCTAGAGTGCAATGGTGCAATCTCCACTCACTGCAACCTTCACCTCCTGGGATCAAGCGATTCTCCTGCCTCAGCCTCCCAAGTAGCTGGGACCACAGACGACCGCCACCATGCCCGGCTAATTTTTTGTATTTTTAGTAGAGATGGGGTTTCACCATGTTGCCCAGGCTGGTCTCAAACTCCTGACCTTGTGATCTGCCCACCTCAGCCTCCCAAAGTGCTGCGATTACAGGCGTGAGTCAATGCGCCCAACCTGGTTCTGTTTTGTTTGAGACAGAGTCTTGCTCTGATGCCCAGACTGGGGTGCAGTGGTGGCAACGACAGCTCACTGCAACCTCACCCTCCTGGGCCTAGGCGATCCCCCGCCTCAGCCTCCAGAGTAGCCGGGACCAGAAGCGCATGCCAACATGCCTGGCCAACTTTTAAAAAACGTATTTGTAGAGACAGGGTCTCCCTCTGTTGCCCAGACTGACCTTGAACTACCATGCGATCCTCCTACCTTCCAAATTACTAGGATTACAGGCATGAGCCATCACGCCTGGGCCCATGTTGTTTTTTAGCAGAATTGCTTCCTAAAGAAAACCATTCCTTGATCATGGCTGTAATCCCAGTAATTTGGAATCCCTGTCAGAATTGTGTGCACTCTATAAATCTTTGGTTGTGGTAGTCCTGTTTTCCTAATAACTTTGTTAATGTGCTGTGAAAGACTGAAAATTTAAGTATGTAGTATATATGCTATTTAATTGCAAATTGTGGAAGTATGTAACAGTTTATCAATATGTAAGGATACTAGCACTTGATAGCCTTTTAATGAAAACTTGCCTCCCAATTTTAAGCTGGAAAGTCACTGGAGTAACTTTTAAAAATAATTACAATACATGGCTTTTTAGATTTTCAGTATAAATGTGAAGAATTGCGTACTGATCCTTAACACAACCAACAAAATCTCAATTATGAAAAAATGAATGATGAAAGACTGGATACTTGCCCCCTAAGATCAGGAATAAGACCAAAATGCCCACTCTCGCTTCTATTAAACATTGAACTACAGGTTCCAGCCAGGGCAATTAGGCAAGAAAAAGAAATAAAAGGCATTCAGGTAAGAAAGTATCAAAGGTTGAATTGTGTCCCCTAGAAAGATACGTCAAAGTCTTAATCCCAAATAATGTGAACGCGACATTATTTAAAAATACGGTATTTGTAGATACAATCAAATTTAGATGAGGTCATACTGGATCAGAGTTGGTCCTAATCCAATATGACTGGTGTCCTTTCCTTATAAGATGACAGGATACACATACAGAAAGGGAAAATGCCATGTGGTAATAGAGGCAGAAGGTGGAAGTATGCTGCTGCATGCTGAGAAATGATAAGGACTGCTGGCTACCACCAGAAGGCAGGAGAAAGGCATGGGATGGTTCTTTCTCAGAGCCTCCAGAAGGAACCAACATTGGTGACACCTTGATTTTAGACTTCTAGACTCTAAAGCTGTGAGAGAATAAATTTTTTTGTTTTGTTTTGTTTTTCTTATCTCCGTAAGTGCCTGGAGAACTTTTTGTGGGTAAAAGCTACCAACTTGGTAGTTCAAAGAGTACCCGACTTAAATTTTTTATTTTAGGCCAGGCATGGTGGTTCACACCTGTAATCTCAGCATTTCGGGAGGCCAAGGTGGGAAGATCACCTGAGGTCAGAAGTTCGAGACCAGCCTGACCAACATGGTGAAACCTCATCTCTACTAAAAATACAAAAATTAGCTGGGTGTGGTGGCGGGCACTTGTAATCCCAGCTACTCTGGAGGCTGAGGCAGGAGAATCACTTGAAACTGGGAGGCGGAGGGTGTAGCGAGTCTCCGAGATGGCACCACTGCACTCCAGCCTGGGCAACAGAGTGAGACTCTGTCTTAAAACATATATATACTAAAATATAATAAAAATATATATGTATATATATATAGTTATTTTATGATAGATTTATCAGGATGTAATCTCCTCATAAGTTGAGGAGCATCTATACTTTGTTATAGTGATCCTAGGAAACTAATACAGAACGAGGTAAAACTATCTTTATTTGCAGATGACATGATTTGACATATAGAAAATCCTAAGGAATCTACCAAAGTTGTTGCAGGATATAAAGCTAATATACAAAACTCATTTTTATTTCTACACAATTTCAACGAACAATCCAAAAATGAAATTAAGAAAACAATCCCAGGCTGGGCACAGCGGCTTATGCCTGTAATCCCAGCACTTTGGGAGGCCGGGGTGGGTGGATCACCTGAGAGCAGGACTTTGAGACCAGCCTGACCAACATGGAGAAACCCCATCTCTACTAAAAATACAAAATTAGCAGGGTGTGGTGGCATATGCCTGTAATCTCAGCTAGTCGGGAGGCTGAGGCAGGAGAATCACTTGAACCAGGGAGGCAGAAGTTATGGACAGCCAAGATGGCACCACTGCACTCCAGCCTGGGCAACAAGAGGGAAACTCCGTCTCCAAAAAAAAAACAAAGAAAACAATCCCATGCACAATAGTGACAAAAATAACATACTTGGAAATAAATTTAACAAAGAAGTGCAAACTTTATATGCTAAAAACTACAAAACATTGTTGAAAGTAAAAGATCTAAATCAGCCAGGTGTGGTGGCTCACGCATGTGAGTACTTTGGAAGGCTAAAGCAGGCAAATCACTTGAGGCCAGGGAACCAGTCTGGCTAATATAGTGAAACCCCATTTCTAATAAAAATACAAAAAAATAGTTGGGTGTAGTGACAAATGCCTGTAATCTCAGCTACTCAGGAGGCTGAGGCAAGAATTGCTTGCACCCAGGAGGTGGAGGTTACAGTGAGCCGAGATTGCACCACTGCATTCCAGCCCGGGTGACAGAGCAAGACTCTTGTCTTAAAAATAAAAATTTAAAAAAAAAAAAAAAGTAAAGAAGATTTAAATAAATGGGGAAAGATCTCATATTCTTGGATCAAGAATCTCAACACTGTTAAGATTGTATTATCCCTTAAACTGATCTCCAGATGCAATGCAATCCCACTAAGATTCCTAGCTGACTGCTTTGCAGAAACTGACAAGTTGATTTTAAAATTCATATGAGGCAAAATTCATATGGGGCCAGGGATAGTGGCTCATGTCTGAAATTTCAGCACTTACGGAAGCTGAGATGGGAGAATCACTTGAGGCCAGGAGTTTGAAACCTGCCTGGGCAACACTGTGGGGCCCTGTCTGTACCAAAAAAATGTAACATAATAAAAATAAAATACATATGAAATTGAAAGGGACCCACAATAGCCAAAACCATTCCGAAAAATAAAGTAAAACTCACACTTCCCAATTCAAAAACTTATTACAAAGCGGCCAGGCACGGTGGCTCATACCTGTAATCCCAGCACTTTGGGAGGCCGAGGCAGGTGGATCACAAGGTCAGGAGATCAAGACCATCCTGGCTAACACAGTGAAATCCTGTCTCTACTAAAAATACAAAAAAATTAGCTGGGCATGGTGGCGGGCGCCTGTAGTCCCAGCTACTTGGGATGCTGAGGCAGGAGAATGGCATGAACCCAGGAGGTGGAGCTTGCAGTGAGCTGAGATCACGCCACCTGGAGTGCATCCAGCCTGGGTGACAGACCAGACTCCGTCTCAACACCAAACAAACAAACAAACAAAAAAACTTACTACAAAGTAACAGTGATCAATATAGCATCACTAGCATAAGAATAGACATATAGATCAATGCAACAGAATTCAGAATTCAGAAATAAACCCATACAGCTATGGTCAGCTGATTTTTGTTAAGAGTGTCAAGACTACTCAATGGGGAAAGAACAGTCTTTTCGAATAAATGGTGATACGACAAATGGATAGCCATATGCAAAAGAAATAAGTTGGATAATGAGGTTATCCATGTACAAAAATTAACTCAACATGGATCAAAGACTTAAATGTAAAAGCAAAAATCTCTTTTAGAAGAAAAATGGGTAAATCTTCATGGCCTTTGGTTTGACAAAGGACTCAGATCTGACAACAGAAGCATGATCAACAAAAGAAAAAATAGATTAATTGAACATCAAAATTTAAAACTTTTTGCTTTAAAGGAAATCATCAAGAAAGTGAAAAGACAACCCACAGTAAGGGAGGAAATATTTGCAAATCATATACCTGATAAGGGACTTTTATCAAGAATATATAAAGACTCCTTACAACTCAATAATAAAAAGACAAATAGCACAATAAAAGAAAAACGGACAAAATACTTGAACACACATTTCTTAAAGATGATACACAAATGGCCAATAGGAACATAAAATGTGCCTGACATCATTAGTCACCAAGGAAATACAAATCAAAACCACAGTGAGACACCACTTCACACACACTAGGACAACTAGATCCAAAAAGTCAAGCCAGGCACAGTGGCTCATGCCTGTAATCCCAACCTTTTGGAAGGCTGAGGGAAAAGTATCACTTGAGGACAGGAGTATGAGACCAGCCTGAGCAACACAGCAAGACCCCACCTCTACCAAAAAAAAAAAAAAAAAAATTAGCTGGGCATAGTGGCACACACCTGTAGTCACAGCTACTTAGAATGCTGAGTGGAGAGAATCATTTACACTTAGAAGGTCAAGGCTGTAGTGTGCTACAATTGTGTTACTGCACTCTAGTTTGAGTGACAATGCAAGGCCATCTAAAAATAAATTAAAAAAAAAAAAAAAGAACAAAAAAACCAAAAAGTGAAATAACAAGTGCTGGCAAGGACATGGAAGAACAGAAACCCTCATAAACTGCTGGTGGGAATGTAAAATGGTATAGCTACTTTGGAAAACAGTTTGGCAGTTCCTCAAATGATGAAACATTGAGTTACCATAAGACCCAGCAATTACATTCCTAGAAATGAACCCAAGAGAAATAAAAACATATATCCACACAAACACTTCTACGTGAATGTTTACAGCAGCATTATGTATAACAGACAAAAAATAAAAATAATCCAAATGTTCATGAATGGATGAATAGATAAACAAAATGTACCATATCCATATGGAATATTATTAGGCTACAAAAAGTAAGGAAGTATCACTACATGCTGCAACGTAGATGAACAGTAAAAATGTTACATTAAGTGAAAGAAGCCAGATACAAATGACCAGATTTTATAATTTCATGTCTAGGAAATGTCTAGAACAGGCAAATCTATACAGACAAAAGACAAATTATTGGTTCCCTAGGCTGGGGAGGGTTGGGAGGAAATGAGTAGTGACCGCTAAAAAGGTTTCTTTTTGAGGTGATGAAAATGTCCTAAAAATGACTGTGATAATGTTTGCACGATACTAGAAATCACTTACTTGTACACTTTAAATAATGGGTAAATCATATGGTGTGTGAATTATATGTCAATAAAGTTGTTTTTAAAAAGTTACAATTTCAAGCCTCCACTTGCAAAGGCAAATAAATATCAATAATGGAAGAGTGCCAAATAAAATGCAACAAAATATGTTTTAACTTGTTTATACTTAGTATAAATTTAATGCAACTGAATGTTAATGTAAAAGTCTACGAGGATATTAAGAGCTCTGCCTAAAAACAAACAAAATCAATGCTTTCACTAGTTTTTACTATTCAGACTAACAGCCCCTTACAGAGAGAAATTAGCTAAGAAGTGTTTGTAAACCTAAAGCTATCAAAATGAACCGCCAGTCTTTTCAAAGTAAACAAAGAATAAAAGGCCAAAACATATTAAAATGGATGCTTACAAATGATGATGCATTCAAATTTTCTTCTTGTTTCATTTCTTCAGTAGTCACATCTGTGTTAGGGAGCTCATGTTCAACAACAGCTATGCATCCTACATCTGGGACATTCACGGTTATTTCAAGCTGTCAAAATAAAGTTTTATCATTTCATTTTGGCATATTAAAAACAGCAAAACAAAACCTCATCTTCCACATGAATAAGTAAGATGAAATGCTAAAATAAAGAAATAATCCACATTCATATATAACTTAAAAAATGAAATGGAGTGGCCAGGCACAGTGGCTCACACCTGTAATCCCAGTACTTTGGGAGGCCGAGGCGGGTGGATCACAAGGTCAGGAGATTGAGACCATCCTGACTAACATGGTGAAATCCCATCTCTATTAAAAATACAAAAAATTAGCCAGGTATGGTGGTGGGCGCCTGTAGTCCCAGCTACTAGGGAGGCTGAGGCAGGAAAATGGCGTGAACCCAGGAGGCAGAGCTTGCAGTGAGCCAAGATCGCGCCGCTGCAGTAATTATTTTATTGACTGACAGCAACTTTGCAGAAGTAAAACATTTAAATTTTTTGAGGGGGCTGTGACTATTACAACCAGTAAGCAAACTTTCTAAGACTCATCTTCTTAGTGCCTGGCATTTCATTTTCCATTTTCTTCACTTTCTCTTTACTTTCCCCTAATTTCTCTGTTCAGTCTTGTTAACATTTAGAGAGTGTTCAGTCTGTTAACATTATAGAGGGCTAGGGGTACAGGGATATAAAGTCAAATGAGACAAGTTTGGTCCCTATCCTCAGTGAACTCACAATCCAACAGAAAAGTAGACATGTAATCAACTAATTATATACTGTCATAAATGCAATCTATAATGAGTTGAAAGTCCTTAAAAATATTTATCCGACCGGGTGCAGTGGCTCACGCCTGTAATCCCAGCACTCTGGGAGGCCGAGGCGGGTGGATCACCTGAGGTCAGGAGTTCAAGACCAGCCTGGCCAACACAGTGAAGCCCCATCTCCAATAAAAATACAAAAATTAGCCAGGCATGGTGGTGCCTGCCTGTAGTCCTAGCTACTGGGGAGGCTGAGGCAGGAGAATCACTTGAACCTGGGAGGTGGAGGTTGCAGTGAACCGAGACTGCACCGCTGCACCCCAGCCTGGGCAACAGAGTAACACTTCGTTCTCAAAAATAAATAAATATATAAATAAAATATTTATCATACCACTGCCCCCACCCCAACTCCCTTCTTCCAAAACCCCAAACCCTGCGTGATTCTTGATACCCAGGGCAACAGCCATGTAAAATAAGAAGTTCACTCACATTTACTCTCCATTTGAGTCCTATTACTTAAAGAGCCCTGTAATCTGAGCACTAAAAAAGTATTTACCTACTAGAATATATACAATACAGTCTGGTTCTTATTACCTTTTTTGTTTGTTTTTCTTTTGTTATTCTGAGGCAGGGTCTCACTCATGTCACCCCAGCTGCAGTGGTGCGATGACAGCCACTACGCCCGGGCCTATTCTCTTATTAACAGAAAAAAAGAGTATAAAATATTGTATGGCTGAGTAGAAACTGTGAGTAAAGAGTCAAGTCTGAGAATCTGCCTTCAAGACATATCTTATTTTTTTTTGAGACTAGGTCTCACTCTTTCGCCCAAGCTGGGATGCAGTGGCACTATCAGGGCTCACTATAGCCTCAACCTCTCATGCTCAAGCAATCCTCCTGCCTCAGCCCCCCAAGTAGCTGGGACTACAGGCATGTACCGCCATGCCTAGCTTATTTTTGTATTTTTTGTAAAGATGAGGTTTCACCGTGTTGCCTAGGCTGGTCTCAAACTCCTGCACTCAAGTGATCTGCCCACCTTGGCTTCCCAAAGTGCTGGGACTGTGGCCATGAGCCCCTGTGCCCCGACTTATCTGTTATAATTACATTTGTATGTACCACATCTGTTTCCTCAGATACAAAATTTGGAGAAAAATATTTGACAATATCTGATAGCACTGGGATGAACTAAAAAATTCAAATGAGCGCAGGGGCACATGCCTGTAGTTCTAAGTACTCGGAGGTTGAGGTGGGAGGGGCGCTTGAGCCCAGGAGTTTGAGGCCAGCCTGGACACTACCACAAGATCTTGTCTCTAAAAAAATGAATTTAAAAACAATAGGCCGGGCACGGTAGCTCACGCCTGTAATCTCAGCATTTGGGAGGCCGAGGCGGGCAGATTGCTTGAGCTCAGGAGTTTGAGACCAGCCTAGGCAACATGGTGAAACCCCGTCTCTATTGAAAATACAAAAAAAAAATTAGCCGGGTGTGGTGGTATGCACCTGTAGTCCCAGCTACTCAGGTGGCGAGATGGGAGGATTGCTTGTAGCAAGCTGAAATCATGGGAGGCAGAGGTTGTAGCAAGCTGAAATCATGCCACTGCACTTCAGCCTGGGCAATGGAGTGAGACCCTGGGCAATGGAGTGAGACCCTGTCTCAAAAAAAAATAAAAATAAAGAAACGAAAAGAAAAGAAAAGAAAAAAACAAACACACACAACAAAAAATGTTAAAGTTCAGGTGATTTGAGAAGAAAAAATTCTTCTTAAAGAGTTGGGACTGGATGGGAAAAGGGAATATTCTATAAAGTAAAAGTTGGTTTTTTAAGCATCATACAGTTTCGTAATTTTAAAAAAGACTTGTAATTCACATAACATACAATTCACCCACTTAAGGTGTATAATTCAACGTATTTTGGGATATTCACAGATATGTGCAATCATTACCACATTCAAATGTGGAACATTTTCATCACTTCAAAAATAAACCTTATACCCACTAGCTATCTCTCCCTTAACCTACCTCTCTTCCCTATCTCCCAATCCCTAAGCCACTACTAATCTACTTTCTGTCTCTGTGGATTTCCTTATTTTGGACATTTCATATGAATGGAATCACATAATATGTGACACTTTGTAACTAGTTTCTTTCCCTTGGCAGAAGGTTCCCAAAATTCATCCATGTTGTAACACATATCAACACTTTATGTCCCTTTAGGGCAGAAAAACGTTCCATTGTGTTTCAATACTTTTGTCTCCTCCTGTTGTCCAGGCTACAATGCAGTGGCATGATTGTAGCTCACTGTAACCTCAAACTCCTGGGCTCCAGCAATCCTCCCCACTCAGCCTTCTGAGTAGCTGGGATTATAAATATGCACCAACACACCTCGCTAATTTATTGATTGAATGCAGACACAGGGTCTTGTTATGTTGTATAGGCTGGTCTTGAACTCCTGGCCTCAACTGATCCTCCCATCTCAGCCTCCCAAATCACTGGGATTACAGACGTGAGCCGCCAATGCCTGGCCTTTCAATTCCTTTTTTTTTTTTTTTTTTTTTTTGAGACGGAGTTTCGCTCTTTCGCCCAGGCTGGAGTACAGTGGTCCTATCTTGGCTCACCACAACCTTTGCCTTCTGGTTTCAAGTGATTCTCCTGCCTCAGCCTCCCGAGTAGCTGGGATTACGGAAGCCCACCACCACGCCCAGCTAATTTTTGTATTTTTAGTAGAGATGGGGTTTCACCATGTTGGCCAGGCTGGTCTCGAACTCCTGGCCTCGTGATCTGCCCGCCTCAACCTCTCAATGTGCTGGGATTACAGGCGTAAGCCACCGTGCCCAGCCTCAATGCTTTTTAAAGAAAATTTTTTCTAACATATATATTTTTTCTAACATATATATTTCCTTGTTTAGTAGGCTGGCCACAAGGAATAGAATTTAAGGAAAGCCTTGTTCAATTACTATGATCACTGCTATTTAAAAAGATAGCCTGTATTAATTCAGGGATACAGTCTGGAATCTAATTTTCAGAAATTAATTACTGATCATAGTTTCCCTAGCAATTTGGCTTCACTTAAAGAAAGAAAAATGCAAAATAGATAGCTAAATGAACTCTCATGCAGCATTAACCAGATGTCTTTCCACAAAATTACCCTTCCTTCTGCATTTTCTTGTTTCACATAATGTTCACATTCACTATCTTTACTTTGAATTGTAAGAAACAACCTCATTTTGCATCATTTAAATTAGCTTCAACCATTTTATTAGTTCATTTACTCTAAAACATTTACCAGTTTATTATTAACACTGAATAAAAGTAAATAAAAGTAGGTTTTGACTTCCCTTCATATATGACTTTACAGATTCAGATAATCTGTTAATTCTTAAAGGAATTACATTAACATTTAAAGTTTACTTTAATTATCTTAAACATTACTTGAATTGTTTAATGTTTCTTATTGTTTCTTTTATTGTTGCCACTATCTTAGTTAACTCTGATTCATTTCAAATGACTCAGAAACTATCATGAATGCTTACCCAAAACTGACTCAGATAAGCTCCTCAGTAAGCCAAAGAAGTGACTGAAAATTGAGGCAGAACAGAAAACTCTGAAGTTACAAAGTTGGAATGGCAGACTAAGAGGCAAAAGTGTAACGAAGCTAAATACGTTCAATATGTTCCTCTAGTTCACAACCCTTAGGATGGTTACTATCAAAAGTTACAAAATGGCTACTACCCGTGAGGATGTAGGCTGTTGACAGGGATGTAAAATGATATAACCCTGTGAAAAATAGTATAAAGGTTGCTTGAAAAGTTAAGTATAGAATTAACATACGATCCAGGCCGGGTGCAGTGGCTCACACCTGTAATCCCAGCACTTTGGGAGGCCCAGGTAGGTGGATCATTTGAGGTCAGGAGTTTGAGACCAGCCTGGCCAACACGGTGAAACCCCACCTCTACTAAAAATACAAAAAAATTAGCTGGATGTGGTGGCAGGCGCCTGTAATCCCAGCTACTTGGGAGGCTGAGGCAGGAGAATTGCTTGAACCTGGGAGATGGAGGTTACAGTGAGCCAAGATCGCACCACTGTACTCTACTGCAGTCTAAGTGACAGAGACTCCATCTCAAAAAAAAAAAAAAAAAAAAAAAGAATTTACATACAATCCAGCAATTCCACTTCTGGGTATATCCCCCAAAAAGTAAAAGCAGAGATTCAAAGAGGTATTTATACAACTATGTTCATACCAGCATTATTTCTAACAGCCAAAAGGTGGAAGCAACCCAAGTGTCCATTGATAATAAAGGAATAAACAAAATGTGATACATGCACACAATGGAATATTATTCAACCTTGAAAATGAAGAACACTCTGACATAAGCTACAACATATATGAACTATGAAAACACTATGCTAAATGAAATAAAATGGTCACACAAAAAAGTACTGTATGATTCCATTTATACACGGAGTCAAATTACAGAGCCAAGATGTAAAAAAGTGGTTGCCAAAAGGTTAGGGGGAGGAATGGAGAGCTATTGTTTAATGGGTATAGAATTTCAGTTTTAACAAAATAAAAAGAGTTTGCCAGGGGTGCAAGGCAGACCTGGGAGTGACCAGGCCAGACAGGACAGGGATAGGGCTCGAGGGACAGGTGTTGAGTGTTTGTATCTTGTATCTTGGTTTTTTGCCAGGCTAGGGGACAACCACTCGTTGCAGGATGTCTTAATCATCTTAAAAAAGAACACAGTAGCTCATGCCTGTGATCCCAGCACTTTGGAAGGCTGAGCTCAGGAGTTTGAGACCAGACTGGGCAATGTAGCAAAACCCCATCTCTAAATTAATTAATTTTAAAAAAGAGTTCTGTGGATGGATGGTAGTGATGGTAGCATGACAACATGTACATGTTAAAGTTCTTAATGCCACTGAACCATACACTTAAAAATGAGTAAGATGGCTGGTCACGGTGGCTCACGCCTGTAACCCCAGCAATTTGGAAGGCCAAGGCTGGTGGACTGCTTGAGTTGTTCAAGAGTTCAAGACCACCCTGGTCAACATGATAAAACCCTGTCTCTACCAAAAATACAAAAATTAGTCAGGCATGGTGGTGCACACCTGTTAGTCCCAGCTACAGGAGGCTGAGGCAGGAGAACCACTTAAACCTGGAAGGTGGAGGTTGCAGTGAGCTGAGATCCCACCACTGCACTCCAGCCTGGGTGACAGAGTGAGATCCTGTCTCAAAAAAAAAAAAAACACAGAGAGACAGAGATAGTAAATTTTAGGTTACATGTATTTTAGCACTTTTTAAATTTTTATTTTATTTTATTTTATTTGAGATGGAGTCTCGCTCTGTCGCCCAGGCTGGAGTGCAGTGGCACGATCTTGGCTCACTGCACTCTTCGCCTCCCAGGGTTCAAGTAATTCTCCTGTCTCAGCTTCCCCAGCAGCTGGGACTACAGGCACCTGTCACCATGCCTAGCTAATTTTTGTATTTTAGCAGAGACAGAGTTTCACCTTGGTCAGGCTGGTCTCAAACTCCTGACTTCAGGTGATCCATCCACCTTGGCCTCTCAAAGTGCTGGGATTACAGGCGTGAGCCACCATGCCTGGCCCAATTTTTTTAAAAAAAGAAAACAAGTAAGTCCCTTCTCGCTTCTCTATCAACCAGAAAACACCTGCCAAAATGTTTGAAAGATTAATCAGAAAGTAGACTAAGCAGCTTCTAGGTACAAGTGTAAGCAGATTTCTCTCATTGTTGTTATACTGACTCCCTTGCTGGGCCTGCGCCATAGGGTCTGAGCAATCATAAAAGGTTATACAAAGCCCCAACTTATATTTGGTAGAGGTTATTTAGAGAAAGAACTCTTCAAATCCTAATAATCACTAAGAGAAGAAATAACGATCCCCTAAAAGAAACAAGAGGTAAAAACCAAGTAAGATAAAAGTACCAAGGATTAAAAAAACAAAACCAAACCTCTTCCATTGTTTCCTCTATCTGAGCAGAAACAGGTTCAGGAGATCTGAGACCAACAGGTACAAATACTGGAGCTTTGTTTACTTCTTCAGGAGCAAGATGACAGCTTTCTTCTTCATAGTCAGACTCAAAATCATCAGCATCATCTTCTTCTTCCTGGGAAGCCCGAAGAGTCACCAGTATGGCCTTGGAAGCTCTAGGTTCCTTCTTAGAGGTCTTACCCCGAACTCGTTTTGATCCACGACCTCTGGTGACATTTGGTTTGATCTTTCTGTGACTTCTCCTTTCACCACGATTTCTCTCATACTCAGATGCAGAAGAGATAGTTGTTTTCCCATCCAGAGCAATTTTAGAGTAATTTGATTCTTTTAACGGTTGTGGACAGCTAGACGTTTAATCAAAACAACAAGGTCATATGCATGCAAGGATAATTTCAATGAAAACCAAACTTTTAGAGTGAAAATCCGGTTCCAGTCATTAAAATGAAAATGCCCACCACCCATTCTTTTAAAATCTTATGCTGTGAAAATAAAAAAGGAATTTAACTACTAGTTTCTCATTCAGAGTTAATTCTTAGTTATCTACCTACAAATTTTTCATAGTAAGTTTTTAATTCTGGGCCATTCTTTCCTGTAATAAGAAAGTGAAGATAAAAAAAACACAAAACTGATAATTATTAGAAGAAAAAGGGATAAAAAACACAGAACCAGCTGGGAGCAGTAGCTCACCCCGGTAATCCCAGCACTTTGGGAGGATGAGGCAGGCAGATCACTTGAGGTCAAGAGTTCAAGACAAGCCTGGCCAACATAGTGAAACCCGATCTCTACTAAAAATACAAAAATTAGCTGGGCATGGTGGTGCACGCCTGCAATCTCAGCTACTCGGGAGGCTGAGGCAGGAGAATTACTTGTACCAGGGAGGTAGAGATTGCAGTGAGTCAAGATCACACAATTGTACTCCAGCCTGCACGAGAAGAATGAAATTGTCTCAAAAAAAACAAAACAAAACAAAACAAAACAAAACAAAACACACACACAGGACCAACAAATGCAGAATATGAGATCAAAAGGTGGTATTAGTTTATCCTACTGGGTAAACAGATAGGTTAAAAGAAAAAGGAGGCAGCAGAAATCCATTAGAGCAGCGCTGGTTTCTAGAACTTAAGTTTCTTTCCATTTTCTTTGAAAACTATAGAAGTAGGGTATTCTTCATTTTGTTTGTGACTCCATTCAAATGAGCACCTTAATTACTTAGCTTAATTACTACTCTTTGGTCATGTTTCTACCCATGTCTAACAGACTCAACACCCAAAAATTTCGTTCTACCAGTAAGTTAAGGTAAAAGTTAAGTGATTTTTATTTCCTATTGTGAAACATTTTGTTAAATAAAATGTTACCTTGTTAGTTTATTGAGATATTGCTCTTCAACAACTGAAGATAGTGAATTATCTCCTACAGTTTCCTCTCCAACCCTTCTTGATGGTCCAGCTTCTTCTAATTCAGCATCTATTTTTGCCAAAGCAGACTCGTTGGAACCTACACAATCTTTTCTCGCTGAAACCTCCATAGATGTCAGAAGCTCAGCTTTTTCCTTAGATTTAAGAAGAAATTAAACAGTTATTACTACAGAAACAATCTCTATGTTAATTTGGTTTGTTAGTTTGGCCTAAATCTCCAAGTTTACACATATATTACAAGCAATTGGTTGCTCATCTTTTCTAACACTAAAAAGTCACTTTTCATGAAAATGGTTACAGTATGGAAGGAAGTCAAAACTACATTTTACTCATGCTCTTCATGATCTTGACAAAATAGACCTCATTGAGAAATTTTTTTTTTTTTTTTTTTTGCCCAAACTTACTTTTAGAAGGAGCTGGGTGTTGGAAGCTCCTTTCTGCAGCAAATGATCTTCTGGCTTGCCTTCCTTGCTCTGATCTGTTGTGCCTTTTTCTAAAATTGGTTCCTCTTTCTTACTGTGTGCTCTTCCCAAATTTGGCTTAGCCTTTTGGAATTTCCTTCTTGTCATTTGTGCTGAACTAGGAACATACAGTTTATTTTCATGTCTAGAATGAAGTATGAATCATATTGAAGAACAAAAATCAGAATTTCTTGTTGATATAACAGCTGTTACATCAAACAATTTTGGATACAAATCAATTCTATGTTCAAAGGATTACATATAAATTGGCAACAAAATCAAGCAAGTAAAATGAAACCACACATTGCTGATATGAAAGGAAAAACTTACAAAGCTTTTGTAGCTTCCATTTTCTATATAGCCTGAAGAAGTTTTACAATAATATTAATCTTTTTAAACTTTCATTTATTTATTCTATTATGTGATTTCATGCTACTTTAATTTTCAGAGAAATCACAAGATCAGAAAAAAAAAAAATGCAAGTAGCTGAAGATGGATTTCATGATGGCACTTTAAACAAATGCCTTCAATTGGACCCCCAAAGCATGAACAAATATATGACAGTTATAACCAGCTTGATCCTTCTAGTTCTAAAGTAGGCTTGAAGGGTAGAGTCTATTCTCCTACCACATGCCTGAAATCTCACTAAAAAGGGTTTACTGACAACCAATGTCATAAACTTCTCAATATAATCCATTTGTATCTGCCAAATCAGAAAAAGACAATGTTTTAGCATTCAAGAGAGTAGCCACAGCTCCCAAGGTAACCTGAATAGCTATCTAATGGTTTCCTGGAAAATATTTTACCCACTGGCAAGGACCTGAATTAGGAAGCTTAAAAACTAATATAGGCCAGGTGCAGTGGCTCACGCCTGTAACCCCAGCACTTTGGGAGGCCACTGTGGGCGGATCACCTGAGGTCGGGAGTTTAAGATCAGACTGGCCAGCATGAAGAAACCTCATTTCTAAAAAAAAAAACAAAATTAGCCGGGCATTGTGGTGCATGCCTGAAGTCCCAGCTACTCAGGAGGCTGAGGCAGGAGAATCACTTGAATCTGGGAGGTGGAGGGTGCAGTGAGGCGGAGGTTGTGGTGAGCTGAAGTTGCACCATTGCACTCCAGCCTGGGCAACAAGAGCGAAACTCTGTCTAAAAAAAAAAAAAAAAAAACTAATATAAACCTGGATATTTATAAAGAATAACTGGATATATAAGTACCTATCATGAGTTCTCTGAAAGATCTGCATTAAAAACTAATCTTTTGGCCGGGCGCGGTGGCTCAAGCCTGTAATCCTAGCACTTTGGGAGGCCGAGACGGGCGGATCACGAGGTCAGGAGATCAAGACCATCCTGGCTAACACGGTGAAACCCCGTCTCTACTAAAAAATACAAAAAAACTAGCCGGGCGAGGTGGCGGGCGCCTGTAGTTCCAGCTACTCGGGAGGTTGAGGCAGGAGAATGGCGTAAACCCGGGAGGCGGAGCTTGCAGTGAGCTGAGATCCGGCCACTGCACTCCAGCCTGGGCGAAATTTCTAAAATTTCCAATTTTAGAAAAAGGCACAACAGATCAGAGCAAGGAAGGCAAGCCAGAAGATCATTTGCTGCAGAAAGGAGCTTCCAACACCCAGCTCCTTCTAAAAGTAAGTTTGGGCAAAAAAAAAAAAAACTAATCTTTTTTTTTTTTTTTTTTTTGAGAGGGGGTTTCCCTCTTGTCACCCAGGCTGAAGTGCAATGGTGCCATCTCAGCTCATCCCAACCTCCACCTCCAGGTTCAAGCAATTCTCCTACCTCAGCCTCCCGAGTAGCTGGGATTACAGGCATGCGCCACTATGACTGGTCAATTTTTCTATTTTTAGTAGAGATGGGGTTTCACCATGTTGGCCAGACTGGTCTCAAACTCCCAACCTCAGGTGATCCACCTGCCTCAGCCTCCCAAAGTGCTGGGATTACAGACGTGAGCCACCTCGCCTGGCCTAAAAACTAATCTTAAGCAATATTCCTAAATAAAAATTACCTAGGAGTAGTTACCACATTTCCAAATGTACTAACCCTCCTACATTCTTCTGGCAGTAAACAACACGGAGGTTCACAGGAAATTCTAACAAGGTTACAATGCTGGCTAATGTAGACTAATTATATTGGAAAACAAATCATATTTAAGTATAAGCTATTTACAATCAAATGTGATTCTGCAGAGGTATTTAAGAAAAAAATATAAATAAGCCCAATGTGCTACTGAAGTCAAAAGGGACAACAAAACGCCAAATTGGCTGGGTGTGGTGGCTCAAACCTGTAATCCCAGCACTTTGGGAGGCCAAGGCAGGTGGCTCACTTGAGGTCAGGAGTTCAAGACCAGCCTGGCCAACATGGTAAAACACAATCTCTACTGAAAATACAAAAATTAGCTGGGTGTGGTGGCAGGCGCCTGTAATCCCAGCTACTCAGGAGGCTGAGGCACGAGTATTGCTTGAACCTGGGAGATGGAGGTTGCAGCGAGCCAAGATCATGCCAGTGAACTTCAGCCTGGCGACAAGAGCATAACTCTGTCTCAAAAACACAAAACAAAACAAAAAAACAACCTACAAGATGCTGAATCTAAGAATAAACTAACTGTAAAACTATACAGAGAGAGGCCAGGCGCACTAGTTCATGCCTATAATACCAGCCCTTTGGTAAACTGAGGCAGATGGATTATTTGAGGTCAGGAGTTCAAGACCAGCCTAGCCACATGGTGAGACCCCTTCTCTACTAAAAATACAAAAATTAGCCAGGCATGGTTGCAGGTACCTACAATCCCAGCTACTCAAGAGGCTGAGGCAGGAGAATCACTTGAACCCAGAAGACGGAGGTTGTAGTGAGCCAAGATCACGCAATGCACTCCAGCCTGGGCAACAGAGCAAGACTCCATCTCAAACAAACAAACAAAAACTATACAGAGATAGTTACTTTCAATTACTGTATGGCTAACAGCTGAAATATACTTCACGAACTAGAAAAGGTTAAAAAAAAGTGGGGGACAACAGGCGTGACAGGTTTCCATACAGGAATTTTTGTTTTTGTTTTTGTTTTTGTTTTTTGAGATGGAGTCTCGCTCTGTCGCCCAGGCTGGAGTGCAGTGGCGCAATCTCAGCTTACTGCAAGCCCCGCCTCCCAGGTTCATGCCATTCTCCTACCTCAGCCTCCCGAGCAGCTGGGACTACAGGCACCCGCCACCACACCCAGCTAATTTTTTGTATTTTTAGTAGAGACAGGGTTTCACTGTGTTAGCCAGGATGGTCTTGATCTCCTGACCTCGTGATCCACCCAC